CCTCCGATGGCCTCCAACCTAGTAGCAATGGCCTCCACCCTAGTAGCTCAAATACATCTACGACTCTACGATATGAACAAATGTGCCAACTGGATCCAACTGGCCTGTATTCTGTCGTCGCCTTCACGTCCGGAGCTTGGGGAACTGATCCTCAAAGATCTGTGCAAAACAATCAATTGCAAGCAACTTCACTCGGAAGAGCATAACATACACAGTACCAGTCATTGGTCTCTGTCCGGCTCGTTTGCCACTCTTTTTGCAAAAATCTGCAGAATCCATTCCACTTGTCCAGACCGGGCACATTGAGGAATTATCTGACCAAGCCTGCGGCGTAACATCAAAGAAAGGCACGGAGGAAGCGAATGAACCATGAAGAGAACAAAAGAGTTGTGAAGCATCTGCAAGTTATACTAGTAAGGCAACTTGCTACTAGTAGCAAATAGATACTAGTAGCAAGGTGTACTGTGTACTAGTAGTAACAAGCTACTAGTAGTAAGGCACCTTGCTACTAGTATTTTGCTTTGCGAGCTCATCCTTGGGTGCCTGTGCATTCGACACATCATCAGAAATTTGGTCAGCATTCGGACCTGACCAATCCAACAAGTCCAAAACCAGCATGAAGAAAGCAGCGTGAGGTGGGACCGACTGGCCCGGGTGGACCCCTTCAAAATGAATCAGCTTGAAGAAGCCACAAGTACATCCAGTCTAAGCCAGTCACAAAATTATGCTACTTTTGTGCCATTCTGTTATCATCGAAACGAGCAGTCCACCAGCTTGAACCTTTGTTTGGTTTTTAAACCCTGATAATGTCAAAGGAATCCCCAAAAGGACAACGCATTTGAGAACAAATTCTATGCCTAAACTTGTCTGAACGCAAGCTCTATATATACATTCTTGAAGCTTTAGGCCTTGGTCTTTCTTACCCCCTACTACCTTCAACAACAAACATCGTCCATGATCAGTGCGCAGGTGAAGCAAAAACAAAGAAATCAATATCATTTACACCATGTTCCTCAACAATAGGAATCAACAAAATCCAAGTACAAAATCAAAAGCAAACCACCATCTTGTAGGCTGCTGTCGAATGTGCAAACAGGATCTCATTTGCTCCTTTGTGCTGAGCTGTGCCTGCTCGGAGATGATTGAAATTCCAGGGAGGTGTATTCTACCTACGATATAGCCCATTACCAGTAACAGTGGATGATAATGGTTAGTAAAGGTCTTTCTCAAAAATCGTGATCATCTTTACCGACTGTTACTGGTAATGGGCTACATCCTAGTTATACCCATGTATACTTGCAAACTCTCACACACATGCTTGTCCAGTCCCTCGCTTCATGACGGGGGTGTCCCTCTCTAATTCACAGCACCAAGGCATCTTTAGTCCTGCCTGACTTGATCGTTGGCGGTGCTGAGAGACTGCGGCTGCGGCCTGCGCAAGAATTCGGCATATCTGCATAAATAGCTTCAGCTGCCCAAAGTGACAGCTGCCTGTACGTTGCTCTGTAGCAGGGATCTCTTCCACATGGACAAATGTCTTCTTCACAAGCACCGGCACGATGGTGGCATCCTCAAAATGATCTGATTGCCAGTATGCCGTATGCCAGTATGCCAGCTCAATCACTTCTCGAATAGACTTGCTCTTTAGAACCCAAGTCAAGGCTCTGGACTGGCCCGGAATTCAAAAAGAATGGTGTCATCCTTTCTACCTGCCCGCTGCTCCAAGGGAGAGAGAAATGCATTGTTGAAACAGCGTCTTTCATTGGCCAATCATTTCCCGAAGATTTTTAAACTCTGAATTGGTGCAACCAACAACGATCGTTACTAGCCTGATGGGGTCATCCCTCAAGTTGCAGCCTTGGGAGCCCTCTCTTGCTGCTCGGTTCCTTGCTGCTATTAAAATCGCTTTAGCCGTTTCTTTTGTCCTTTTTTTTCATCCTCTATTTCTTCTGCTTGAGTTTCACACATCGATTTTCTGGCTGCTGAATTCTCATCATTGAGAAATTGAGATCGGTACTGAGATTGTCTCGCGAGGAACCCCCCTCGCACTGACAGTCTGACACTGCTGGGAGCTTTCTCCGTTGAGCCGCAAGATCTTTCCTGTTAGAGTTTGCCCAGAGTTGGAACAGGCATGGACAAAGTGTTGGCAAGGCGAGACTTGCAGTTTGTTATCTTTTCACAGCCCTTTTCAATTTGCGTTGGCGGAATTTGCCCTGAGGGCTTCAGGGCCGAAAAGCTTCCACATTAGCTAGCCTTCAAGTCTCAACGTCTTATCAAGACTGCGCGAATTTGCGGCTTGGAACAGCAACATGAATTCTAATTTGCTCGAACACATTGCACCTCTTTATGTTCAAAGATTTCTGACAGTCAAAGATCAGGAGTTTGTCCACGTGATCCAATCGCTGCGGCATCTCAATGCCGGATCTGCTTCAACCACGACGGCAGATTCATGGAATCCTGCGGCAAGCATGCTGGGGAAGGAAAGCCCCTAGTAATCGAACCACATGCCGCTAGTGAACTTCACCACCCTGTCTGTCCAAAGCCTCGATACTGGCGATGGTCTTGGAAATCGTCTCTGCCACACTCTGCCTGAATGTTGAGAAGCAAAGAAACAAACACCACAAACATGTTCCGGAACAAGCGTGATCTTGCATATTCTCACTTTGCAGTGATATCTTGGAGAGTCCAGACCGATGGTGGATCTTGATTGCTATTATGAAAGTCAATTATCTACAACAAGTTGCTGTGAAATGGCTCCTAATTTTCAGCGTTTGATGGTAATTATGGAACAAACAATTCTTGTCCTCCCACTTCCTTGAGTCTTCAGCTCCTAAGTGAAATTTTGAGTCTATCCTTGAATCTACAATTCTTTCTTAATGTCATATCCAAAAACCCAGAATAGATCCATATATTTCAAATCCAAGTGGGTGACTCACAAGCAATGTTGTGGAAATTGATCCATATATATATATATATAAACGGCTTTAATATGCTTTAATATGGCTTTAGGGTATCGTATTGTATCATCTATGCTTGCCTCTCTTTGGATTGGGATTTGTGTCGATTTCCTTTTGTTCCCAAAGCAAATGCCGTTTGTTCAACACGGAGGTGTCAAGAAGCACACAGCAAAACAAAATCCATCTGCTTTCGTATCGCTTCTCTTGCTTTGCACTTGGACGAGTTTCCGGCAAGACCGAATCACACCTTCTTCATTTTTGATCCTCTCGTACGCGCGGTTTTGTTGCTACCCTGTGTGGACCCACAGCAACCTTCGTTCTCATGTGGCAGACAAGACACGAAGGCGCACTTGGCCTGGGCATTTGCTTCATCTCTAGTTGCACCCATGATCACCGAGAGTCTCTTCTGCACCACACTGAATCCTTGTTTATCATTGTTTCGAGTGGCCCATTGAGGCTTGGTGCTGGTCCAGGTGCGGGTGACCTTGGCTCTCTCGTGGTGATTCCGATCCATCGCTCTTGGGTTGGAGGCCATGGCTATTAGATGCTATTAGACTAAAGGTCCGATCCTTTCCACAGCTTTAGTTAGTAAAGATCCGTGCCTCACTGCCTCACCAAATAACATTCTGCCCATTCCGCTTTTCGCATCTTCCGCATCCCAAGAGCACACCATCTGAACATGAGGCCCATGCTCAATGCTCACATCTCGAAGGCTGTTGGCATGAACCTCACACTCAGCCATTGCACTCATGTCATCTCGTGTTCTTGTCATGTCATTCAATTCTGTCCCAAATATTGTTAAGATATGTCACATGTTATATAAGATTATCAAGCATCTTGAGAACGTTGGTTCCTTCGGCAATGTTGCAGCAAAGCCTTGTGAAGGTTCAGCATCGTTGGTTGGTGTGCCTTTGGTACGTAGCCAATTTGAGGACTGATACACTCAAAGAATACAACCCTAAGCGTACCTCAGCAACTGCAACAAAACGTGAGGTGAGCGCTCAATTGTCTACTGTTGCTAAGTCCATGGCATTTGGCAGCTCTCCCACTTGAGAAGCTGCGGACGTTTCTCCGTCACCTTTGAACTCTGTACAAGTTGAAAGTAGCAGCCACTGTGGTGGCACCGGTTTCAAAACACTCCATGTCTTTCCTAGTTCTGTGTCTTCAACAATGACATTCACGTGTCACCCTGACAAGGAATATTGTTTCACCACGGGTTACATGCCCAAGCTAATGCTGGGCGAAAGGCCATGGCTGTGCACATCCGGAGCCTCCGGCACTTTTCATTTTCTGGAAAGCTAAAGCACTAGCTAAAGCAAGAGCATGGCCTCCAACCTACTAGCAATGGCCTCCAACCTACTAGCAATGGCCTCCAACCTAATAGCAATGGCCTCCAACCTAATGGCAACGGCCTCCACCTAAGATTAAAGCACTAGCTAAAGCAGCTGCAACTGAAGCAACAGCAGATTGTGCCCGAGCAAAAGGTCTGGTGAACCGCACCTGTGCCACTGATGCCACCAAGGTCTGGGCAGAAACACAAAGCACTTCCAGATGCGTCACAACTGCAACTCGCCAGAATCCCCCTGCTGCATGTCCTTGCACTTTTTGCATGGCAGTGTTGCACAATGGTGTGACAGGGAATATTGTTACCCTGGCCTTGTCCAAGTTCCAATGCAATCCTACCTGCAAGAATATTGTCGCTGATTCAGCTTGAACAAATAAGAACGCTTTCTTCACCCTGCAGTTGGATGCTTAGTTTGCCACCAATCATTAGCGTGAGATATCTTGCATCCAGTTACTAGGAGCTTACTCCCTTACCCAATGCAGTAGGCGCCAAGTAGGAGCGGGCAACAAGAAAGCTACTTGAAGCAATTCTTTCCTTAATGTTCTTTATAGTTCCGTACCCATTTAAATCGATCGTTGTTGAATGTTGAATGATGTTGAATGGATGTCCGAAGGAAGCTCCAGCCATCTGCTCTATATTAGTCCAACATGCTTGCTGCTACATCCTTAAGCCTTTGTTTGAGCATATTCCAGCTGCTTGCCAGCCCAGCCCGCCTCAGCGATTGGTCCATATCTGCAATTCAGCGGTTTGAAAGAAAACAAGTTTGCTCAGCTGCTTCTCTTCAGCACTTTTGGGAAGAGTCTGCAGTGTTTCAATTGCCTCTCAGCGTAGACACGCAAAGCAGACTGCAAGCGCAAATAGTCATGGGCCTCGTTCCACGAGACACATCACGAAGACTGGCCACACTTTCCAAACTTTAAGCAAGGTCATCTACAAAGCCTCCGAAGCACACAAAAGAAATTGGGATTTGGAAAAAGAAGAACAAAAGCACAAATAGAAAGAGACAAATTGAACTAGAAAGCAATGAAAGAGACAAAAAAGAGCTGTGCGGATCTGTGGCTCTTTGCCAAGCTCGCTGTCAGTACAGACTGCACAGCTCTTTGGGATCCACCAGGTCGTAGAAGCCTAAAATTTAAAACATCGTATATGCTTACAGAGCTTACAGAAGTGAAACGATGGCATACTTCAATTGAAACAGAATCAGAATGGACATTACAAACTCGTAGTAAAATCGACTCAGAATGGACTGCAAGTTGAGCAATTCGATTCGGAATTGAGCACGATGGCTCATGGAGGCGTCGATTTTCACTCTGTCACCTCGTCAACTTTATCGCTGGGCTCGGCCGCATTCAGCTGACATTGCACCAGCTGGAAATAAGAGCCCCCTCGTTTCAGCAAATCCTCATGTCGCCCTTCTTCCACAACCTGTCCAGCTTTTACAAGCACGGTAGGAAGGCGGGAATATCTTCTTAAGGTGTTTCTATTCAAAGCTTTACGAAGCTTCCACAGAGAAGGTGGAATCGATCGTATCAGTCGCTCCCTTGGCTCACCTGACCACCTTTGATCACACAAATCTTGTGGCTGTTCTTGACAGTGCTGAGCCGGTGGGCTATGATCACCACAGTCATGCAGCCTTCGGACAGCAAGTCAACTGAATCGCTCCATTGCCTCTTTGCATTTCTACACGTTGTGAACATTGAGGTGCTTCATGCAATTCTGGCCTTCTTTAATCATTCCGTCAATAGCACGCTGGACCTGGTAGAGTCCAGAGTTATTAATGCTTACAGAATAAAAGAAGGCATGCAATCAGCATAGCAGCATAGCATGCGATCACATCGATGAAGGTTTCTTAAAGTCTTTAGGCTTTAGGGTCTAACATGGTTTAACAGCTGTACGTCTCAAATCAGTAATGTGAAGAACCCTTACAGTAGCTTTTCTCCGTCATGCCTGGCACCCCACGACACCTACCTCTCTGGCCTACTTACTCACTACTCAATGTCCGGAAAAAGGAGCATCAAGGTCTGCATGTAAAGATATCCACCTGCCTGAGACTCAGATTCAGCGTCCAACGCGCTGGTTGCCTCATCTAGGAGCAGCACCTGCACGACTCAGTTTTTTGAGCACCATTTTCCACAGGTTTTGGTCCAACCAGCTCTGAGACTAAGCACATCTGAGCATGTTAAAACCAACTGTTTCATGTCTACGTAGATCTACGTAGTCTGTTCTCACAAACCGAAGCACTGTCGAACCAATGCGTATGCAACATCATGCAACTATATATATATATATAACTACTACTGAGTATGTCAGTATGTCTCTCACGTGCGTTGATGTTGCCAAAAACACGCAAGGCCGCGAGCCTTTGGCCGCCTCGCCAACGCACGGGCAATAGCAATTCTTTGCTTTTGCCCTGCGAGCAAGTCTTGCATCGAGCTTCATTCTCATTAGCTTCTTCTTTGTGAAATGGGGCGGAAGCCCAGGGCTCTGACGATCCGCCCGTTTTGTTCACCTTCTTTGCCAGTTTCCCATAAATCCGAGGCCTTCTGCGTGCGTTCCGTCGGCGGCCTACGGCGGCCTATGGCACCCCGCCCTAGAGTCGGCCTCCTGAAAGCTGAACACCTCGTTCCCCAACTTCTGCATCATAGCCTGTCATTCGATACATCTCGAATAGCAGGCTAGACAATATCTTGGCCAGAAAAGTTCCAAGTTCTTCCGCAGGTTTCCTGAAACATTCAAGGTTCACCAGCAGCATTCAGGATTTCAGCCAAGTTGTTACACAAATCTACACATTATTGATTCGGCAAGTCAGTCAGGGGGTTGCAGCAAAGTTCCTTCCTGTTAGTTACCAAGGCCCGGGAGGGTTGTCGGTGATCTCTCAAGTTGCGAAGCAATCCCCACAGCTTGGACACATCGCCCCCAGCCTTGGCTCATTTGACTGATAAAATCGTGAGCATTGGCCTTTCTTGCAAAGTCCTGGATCTCGTTGTCGGTGATTGGAATACCTTGGAGGTCCAACTCAAACGACTCATGCAAGCCCCAACACTGGGACATTGCTTGAAGCAAGTTTCCCAGGAATGAAGGCCAAAAAGGTGGACATGTCTTGTGGATGATGCCACAAAATGCCCCATACCGACCGCATGAGCAGCAAAAACTCATCAGTGCAATGCAAGCATTGATAATGCTTGCATAATTTTGCCATGCCGCTGACATTGGAGATCTCCTCCCCAGCAACTCTTTTTGGATTGCTCATGCCAAGCAGAATGTTCTCTTTGATGGAGCGTGCAAATAGCACTGGCTCCTATCAGTGAGGATGCGTCGCGATGCGCCAAAGTAAGACGATGCATTACAAATCGCTGTGTCCTTTCCGTCGATTCTGTAATCAACTGAGTCAAACTTTACAACCAATCAACCTCAACCAGTCCTGGCCGACAATGGACACCACTCGGTGGAAATGTGTGTGGGAATATTGCCTGCACAGTAGCTGAAGCACGGCCTTGTGGAACCCTTACGGCCAAACTGGTCTGGAAGGCAGTCCAAACGCCTTCTATGCATGGGACCCTTGCAATCTCCAAGTCCCCAGGCGAGAAGCGAGGAAACAGCAACAAGTACCTAATAGCGATGGCCTCCAACCTAATAGCGAAGCGAGGAAACGCGAGTAATGTTGCTTTAGTAACTTATCTCGGTGAATTGCTATCCTCTACCTACGATGTGTCGTACACGTTCCAATGCTCCACCTGAGAACCTCTGAACACTTCCAACCAAGATGCCAAATTGGAACCCCGTCCAAAAGAATCTCACCAGCCTTGCAGGAGTTCCGCAGTGCAAGAGATTTTTGTCGACATGGACACAAACAACTGATGCAAACACCGGGTATCACAAAGGGTTCGTTGTCAGGGGTCAAGAGTCAAAAGGTCTCATTTCATCTCATTTCTGTGTATTTCAACATTTGGAGCCAGATCTAGCCAAGTGTCACTTGCGTGGTATAGCCGCTTCACCAAACCAATCACCTGGGCCGAAATATTGCAAGCATCCCAAGCGGCATTAAACACCTACACGTATAGCCAGTTGACAATTACTTTAAAGCCAACTAAGCCGAATAGCAAACAACCTGAAAGGTCTGGTAGGTGCCCCTACAATAGGATCTTGTTTGTCGTTCGATTCTTCCGGCTTATATAAGCCGTGAACGATTTCTGACAAGGTGCAGTGCTCTTTCCATTTCCGGAAGGACCCACCAGTGCAACGACTTGACTCGCCGGGATATCCAGGCTCAAGCCGTCTAGGACTTTGACATCCGGTCGGGCGGGATAAGCAAAATGCAAATCTCGCAGTTGCAATGCCCCCACTTGCTCCTGGCAAAAGATTTCCCACTGCTGTTTTCGTTATCTTTGATGTGCAGTTTGCACAGGTCCTTTCTGGCAATCAACAAACTATGTCAGAGGCAAGCTTCGAAGGCAACACAAAATCCTATATTTTAATATATTTTAACTCCGGGTAACACATGAGTGGTTTTCACCAGTATTATTTGTGTTCCTTGTTTGCAGGTGTACGAGCTTCAGTGATTGTTCCGCTTCTGCCTGGTGAGGTTCTAAATCTCCCGAAAGCGGGCAATCTGGTTTCCGCTCGCAAAGCTCAAAGACCCTCACAGCAGCCCCTGCAGCCTGCGGGAGCAGGATAAATTTGCCGCTTGGCTGGTGTAACGATGAGCACTAATTCCTTGTGTCTGGATCATGTTGGTGTAAAAGTCCCCGAGGGTAGAAAAATTGTTGTTCAGAGTCTGCAAATAGAACCTTAAAGGACGAAGGCAAATTCCTTTTAGAAAGAATTGAACACATTCGACGATAACCGTATGTTCGGGATTGACTTTTCAATCTGGAACTACAAAATGTTTAGTCAAAGGATGTGGTGCTTTGAGATCTTACATGCCATAAGAAAGGCCAGATTCGCAATGGAAGGTGTACAGCTTCATCTCCGAGGAGCACAAAGGACAAAAGGCTACTCGCCTCCATTTGCCCTTCACTTGCAAGCTTTCCACCATAGAAAAGCACCACAGCAGTCACAACCTTCAGGACAAAAACAAGGACACCCACGGGACCACATCGACTTATAAGGAGCTGCATCAGCTTGATATGGCCTGTGGCAGCATCATGGTGGAAGTGAGGTAGACCAAGTAAAACATGGCGCGCTTCTTCATTAGCTTCCTGGCCCATTGATGGCATGCACTGTCCATTAAAGTGCAGTCTGGATTGTCACACTCGCACGTGCACACCTGTAAACTCCTATGGCAATCCCAAAGCGCTGCTGCTCAAACGATTCTGCAGCAAAGCTGCGAATCGTGGACCTAGTGTGCTATTCAACCGACACCACTTCTCTGGATCCATTTCTCTCCTTACATCTTTCTCTTTCGCTTCCCTGTTTAAAGGTTGGACATGGTTGGACGTTTTGTTGCTGAGAGTCAGGCATGTTCCCTAATCCTTCATTCGCAACTGCATTGGCGTCGGCAAGGGATTTCTGTGCCTCCTCGCTAATCTGCCGAAAAATGGCACTGTATTTCATAGATATGGCAACCACAGCGGGCACAGACACGAATGCTACGAAGGTCAGAGGCTCGGTGATGGAGAACATAAAGGCCAAGGTCGTGATGATGGACACCAAGGTTCGCAAAAAAACATTCACGTTGAGGTATGCTTGCTCTACAACTTGTTGACAATCTTGTGTCATCCGGGAGGTGAGTTCTCCAATCTGCGTGGTGTCAAAAAAACATAAAAAAACCAATCTCTTGCTTCATCAGTGTGGCAAAGAGTGTGCAACGAAGCCTTTCAGCCAAACGACCGCCGATCACAATGAAGGTTGCACCACGACAAGAAGAAAACACCGAGGAAGCACCGGCAGCAATCAACAAGCGTATCACCGGACCTTTGTAGGGCCGCTGAGCTAACGTTCCTTGTTCTTCAGCACGAATAATCTGGCTAATTGTCTGGCTGATGTAATGTGGAATGAGGACATCGGCAATGGCAGCTACCATCAAGAAAATGAAGGCTTGAATCAGCAATGGCCATTCTTTGGCCACTAAGCTCAGCAACTTCCAGACCGAGTCCTTCTTTTTCTGTCCTCTCTCGCCTCTCTCCTCAGAGTGTTCCAAAGAGCTTTCCGAAGCACCAGCACGAGCATCTGCACTCAGCAGTTCGACGTCCAAGGGCTGTTGGTGACCACCTCGAAGTGAACATCGCATTCCTGTGAAGTCTTCAATGGCCGGCAAGGTCATGTAGTGCTCGCCAGTACTGCAAACAGAGCCTAATCCGACGAACGCCCAGAAGCCAAGCCCAGAGGAGACCTGTGGAGGGTCACTGACCAATCGAGCCAAGCACACAATTGCCAAGGGCACATAGGCAACGTATGGAAACGCGCCATGCAACAACTTGTCAATGAAGGACATGGAAGAAGACCGTGGTCCATGTTGACATCTGATCAAAATGAGAAGCACAAGCCACACCGCTCTGACTATAGCAAATGCTACTGGGCCATGTAGAGACCAACCAAATGCTGTAGTCGGCTCAGATGGGAGGAGGAAAAGGCCGACCAGGGCAAAAATCACATCGAGAAGTGGCCACAAATATGTACAAAAAGTCCGCATCCAAGTCCATGCGGCCATAGTGACTCATATGGCTCATGTACAAGGTCATGCGGTCAACACAGGTCAAAGCAAGTGAGAATGATCAACATCAAAAGTCAATTCCGTGGTTGTTGAGTTGTTCTCAATTCCGAGAATCGACATGAATCGACTCTTGTAATGTAAAAATTACGTACTGTACTATACAACTATATATATACTATATAACTGTTACTCGTAGTAATATATACTATATAACTGTTACTCGTAGTAAGAATGCTCCTAGTAGCGATGCCGGGAGCCCCTAGTAGCGTCCTTGCTCCTAGTAGTAAGGCCAGGAGCCCCGAGTAGCTTCTTGTTACTGGATGTGACTGGTAGTAAGAAACTATATATGTATCTCCTTTGCCAATCTATGCCAAACATTCAACTTGTCTTGTTCCAACGAAGCTATTGGCTGTGACAGCTGCATGCAGTGATTCTGTGTGAGAGACATGTAAAAAACATGTGGAAGGCTGTCAATGCAAACTTATGTCAAGCAGCTGCAAGGCGCACAAACACTCAAAAAGAATCTGCCAAATGTATATTATATATTGACAAAGTGAATTCTACTTCCCAATGCGCAACCTTACCTGTAGTGGTAACAGGTAACATATTCTGAGTGGAAATCATGGTCAATAGGTTTGACAAGACTGTTGCCAACTCAGCCAAACGCTCGTACGCGCTACAAATGTGGGACATCTCCGCATCAACCCCTGAGCGGCAACGAGGTAGGCGACTTGATGGGAACTGACCACCTTCGAATTGCAGCGGTGAACAAATACATATATAAAACGTGTCAAAGCAAGTGAACATCTTCGTGCTTCAATGCCCAGAGCTCCCCCACTCTCAACGTCCCATCGATCTACACCTACAGTGTGTCCATCAATTAACAGGGTCCAAGATTGTATGATGCCCATGATGAGCAGCTTGCCTTTGATCAACAGCTTTTGCTGGCCTCTGTTCTGAATGCTTTGGAGCGTTGTTGTAAGCCGGTGGCACTCCGCCTGACCGAAAGAACTCCGGAGCCCTGGGCGGAGATCGTTCACACTTCGCCTGCAGCATATAGGTGTAGATGGTCAACCAGCCCAGTAGAGATGCGAGCACCGCAGCAAAAGGCTGTGGCTCTGGACCCTGAGCGTGCGCAGGAGCTAGCAACTAAAATGGGAGAAGGAAGCCCTGCGAACTGCTCTGCGACCTTGCCCTCCAAAGGATGCTTTTTCAACTGAAGCAAGAAGAACATGTCAATCAAAGAATCTTTGCTGCGCTGTCATCTTGGCAAAACAGTCTTCTCACGAACCCATTGTGTGCTTGTATATATTTTTTGTCATACCATGTCATACCTCCTCTTTGATCTACATATTCGCTCCTAGTTCGCAGTCGCTCACAAAAGCTGGACACGGGTTCGTTGTGCACAGGTCGCGACGGTGACGGCAGTGAGGAGAAAAATCAAAGAAGCCAGGCCCAACCTAGAAACCCAAAGTAACATCAAACCAAATAGAGCACAAATCAAGGTAATTATTCTTGACCAACATTCATTTGCTTCAGAATCACTTTTTGCTAGACAACAAGTGCTTCGTGCTGCAAGGTCTTTTGAGGTGTCAACGCCCACAAGCCGACCTCTCTCACCTTGTACTTCTCTGCAAAGCCTAGCTCAATGTCTATGTGCTGGCACCCGTCCGTCTCAGAAGAGTCTACCCTTTGCAAGCTCGAATCACGGATGCACATGGGTTAAAATGCAATGAAACACACAAGTGTTTCTTTTCTTTCACTAAGAGGTTCTTAACATTTTTTTAACTAGCAAGCTTTCCACAGTAGTTGGAATCCACGCTTTCCAAAGACCTCTCAAGGGCAAATTGGCAAACAGGCTGGCTCAACGCTGCAGCTGTTCAATCGCTTCCTGACAATTCCAAGTGGTGATGGTTGAACTCCTTCGAACCAACACGAACCAACTATTGAGATTCACCTGTGCATTCTGTAAATCAGGAAAGGTAGACGATTGAACAAGTCGAGAATTGGTGTGGATCCCAAGTTTTAAGGATATGCATAGAAGGACATTCGCCAAGTTGTACAATATAACTTTGATAATGTAGCGGTCTCTTGGAACCTGCACCCTTCCGTGTCCCGTCAAACGATGTAGACAACCTCAATTCAAATGAATGTGATCTTTGGTTATTGTAGCTGGGCTGGACTACAATTAGTTTGTGCGCAACAAAGCATTCCGAGCCGAAGTCAAGGCAACAAACCATAGATAGATAGCTAGCGTAGCTAGCTAGCTAGCTGGGTAGGTAGATTGTGTATATCAAACATATCAAACACATCTTGCCATATCCAGCCCATGTCAAAATGCAGGTCCCAGCATTGGCAAAGAACATATCCACAGGGACAACCATGAGGCTTTAGGTGTCTGCTCTGTGAAACGCACAAACTATGTCGACTTCAACCTAGACTATGTCAACCAGGAGCAAGGACGCTACTAGGGTCTCCTGGCCGTACTACTAGGCAATAGGACGCGGCAAATAATCGACTCGCAACAGGAGTCAACACCTGGTCGAGACTGGGTCATGGCACCTAAGGACTCATGACAATGGATCCCATGGTGCGGTCGTTTTGAGATGCCATACAGCTGCTTGGGGATGGATCAGTTACTGAACGGAGAATTTAGGCTCTTAAACTCAGTGACTTAGGGTCACAGTCCCAAAGGTTGTAGTTGAAGCTTAGGCACACTTTTAGCTCAAACACGCGTGAGCTCTGGTATCGAAATGAACACAAAAGTAAACCACAAACGGCTGCAGTGAGACATACATCTATACAAGCTATATCATGTACATGTAACTGGTGCTACATCTGATCAGTTACCATGCTACAATAATTTACAGTCTACAAAACACCAATGTGGCTCACAGGCACAGTTGCACAGATGCGTGCGGTCCAAATCAATGGCAAATACACCCACCACAAAGTATGCTGAAGGAAAAGTGCTTTTGATCTCGTGCTGCCAACTGCGTTACAGTAGAAGTGCTCGCTCCTCCCTGCTAAAAGATCTAGCATGCGAAAGCAAGAAGGTGACCCTTCCAAAACCTGAAAGGAAAGGAAAGGAGGAAACAAACAATGTCTTAAGAGAAAAATGAAGAGAAACACAAAAAGAAAGAAACACATGCATGTTTCAATCAAGCTTTTGAGGGTTCATCGAAGCATTCAGCCACCCAAACTTACAAATCGATTTCGTCCGGCTTCTGCTCCTGTACAGCCCTGGTGCTGCAACACCGCCTGCTAAAGCGGTGACATGAACCAAAGTCCGAAAAAGAAGTTGCAGCTTAATAGCGATGGCCTCCAATCTAATAGCTACTTATAGCGTCCTTGCTCCTAGAAGCGATGCCAGGAGCCCCTAGTAGCTTCTTGCTCTTAGTAGAAAAAGGCCAGGAGCCCCCAATAGCTTCTTGTTCCTAATAGCAATGGCCTCCAACCTAAGAGCAATGATGGCCTCAACCTAATAGCAATGGCCTCCAAGTTGTAGCTTAATGAAATAACGTTGTGGCGGTTGTAGCTGGCAAAGAATTTCCGTGATCACACTTAGGCCTTGCCTTCGTGGAGGCGGCGCAGGCCGAGTGAGTGGTGACCTTGAAATGGCTCTGACATATTGGATGATGTTAATATTTTACGTATGTTTGTAGACTTTGTAGACTTGAAACTTGCAGGGCTGGCCCTCTCTGACTGTGGATCCCAGCAATGGCTCCAAGTTTGGACTTGTGAAATGCGAGCTTGGGGAAGCCTGCAAATTGTGATACGCTGATTAAAACAGTTAGTTTCTGGTCCAGGCTACTGCTGCTACTGCTGCTGACTTCTTTCACATTTAAAACACGATTCAAAACTGCAAGGTTCTACGCTCCTATTTTCGAGCTTAAAAGCGGCTTTCGATCGTATGCTTCTTGTTTTGTGCGTTTCATCCTTTTTGGACGTGCACTCCTCCTTGGTCTTTGCTTCTAGCAATTGACCAACATTCAAAAGCGAGCTCTAGGCTCAAGCCGCATCACGATCCACAGATTTTGCACTGTCGGATCTCAGTCATCGGTCCCGTGACTGCATTGCACCGAGCATCAGTGTGGAAGTTGCCGAGCGTCCTCGTAGATGAAGTTCGCCTCCCGAAGGTTCCTCTGACCTCTAGTGGCCCTCTCGCTGGCGCCGGAGTGACCGTCCCCATCAAGGATTGGAGCTGCTCGAACCGCTGCATGGGAGTCAACTCGTACAGCCGACGTCTTTCCACCTCCAAATCCGTCTCTCTTGGGGGTTCATCGACTGTCAATTCCAGCTGACGCTTCACAGACTCCTCGCTCTCTGGCGTTCTGAAGGCCTGCTGCTCCAGCTCACGTTGAAGGTCATGGACCTTGGCTTCCAGGCTCGCCCTCTGGTACTTCATGGCGTCCATGAGCTCTTCCTGCTGAATCTGCAGCTGTTGATTCTCCTGCTTCAACATCGCCAACATGGTCATCATCTCCTGCGGATTCGGCGGGCCAGGGCCGTAGGGATGTAGTTGAACTTGCCATCCTCCTTGATGCGGCATAGGTCCCCTCCTCTCTTCATGGGGCATGATGTACCCAGGTGGGCCAGTTTGTCCAAACCCTCTTGGAACATGTAGACCAACCACCGATTGTTCTCTAGGTTGGGGATGTCGTTGCCCATCGCTGTCACTTTCAGGCTCTTGCACCTCAGGTACTCGTGGTTCTCTAGGTCTTCCACGTCGCTGGTCACCTGGTGCATGATCGCCCATCAGTGCCGGTGATGGCGTCCCCGTCGTTGTACTCGTCTGTGGAAGTGCTCCAGCCGGGCCCTCTTCCTTCGGCAGGAACTGTGGTCTTTCCTTTTTCACCTCTTCCGGAGACCTGTTCCCCAAACCAGGCTGCCAGATGCTTTGCCTCGGGACTTGAGCATAGAGGTGAGGAGCTTGGCTCTGCACTTCATGAAGTTCCCTCAACTGCTCCGGGGTGAAGAGTGGGGTCATCGGTGTC